ATATCTTCATGATACAGGAGAATGTTGTATACCTTGACTTATGAGCCATAAAATGAGCAGTTTGACAGTGCTGTTGCAAGTTATGATACAGATAAGTTGATAATGCGCATTAAGCAAACATAAGTAGATTAAACAGGTGACTGAAATGATTCTCGACAGCCACCATAAAGTCAAGCAATGTCTACAATGTGATGAGCGAACTGCAGCTTCAACCAACTGCATTCTTGCAGCTGGTAGAAGAGCTGTTTACGCAGAAAACTTTTCAAAGTACGGTTTGTTTACTGTATGACCATTATAGAATATAACAAAAATAAAACCTTAACTAATATAGCTTGAGCAACAATCAATATTTGCTTCTAAATGTCCAACCATCTGCTACAAACCAATAATGGACATTACAAGACAGTTAGGTTGTACATGTGAGTGATAGATAACTCATAGATTATGAACACAGAAATAAATGTAATACTATGCTTTCTTTTAAGTGGCTTGTTATTAAATGTAGTAGGGCGTTCCATTTGATTTCACAAATCTTCCTAATTTAAACAGAATGTTGTTCACTTTTTTTCTTATTCCAAGGAGAAATAGTGTCATTATTACAGAATGGATATAATTGTAATCAGTTTTTCCATGAATAGTGTACATAGCATCTTTATAAATCCGTCTTTGGGACACAGATAATTAGAGTAAACTCCTGATAACTCATTATGCAATAAATTGCACAATTAGCACACCACAATAGCATGCACACTAATGTGCATGGACAGTAAGTCACCAAAAGTAATATATATTTAAGAGGCAAAACTCATGACAGAGTGCTGTACGATAATATAATAATCCTTGCATTTGACATAGCGCCTTATTACGTCGTTTAGACGTCTCAATGCGCTTCACAGAATATATTGTAACGACTGTATATTTTGTGGGCGAAACCGGCAATATGGAATGTGTGGATTAATTCCTGGGTCTCCAACACAGACAAACCCCCTATTTTGACCCCTGTGCTCTCACTCATATCATCACTCTGCCTGCACTGTCTTGTAACCCACTGGCAACCATACATATATTTATGAAACTGAACATGTCTCATGTCCCTTTGGCAGACCATCGGGGCATTTTCTTGTACATTTGGCAAACCCTAGCACTAGTACTTCATCTCCTTTGATGAAATTTAGAAATGAGATCAGTTTGTTAACAGAGACATTTGAGTTTCACAGAGTAGTGGTTTTACAAGACATTTATGGCAAAATGTTAAAGGAACTTTGATCACAATTAGGGTAACAATTACACAAGATCTACTAGGACATGATCTTCTGTTGTTAAAACCAAACAAGTTATTGCTGTGCCACAAATAAGGATACAGAGCAATGCTGTCGGCATTGCAGCATCAATTTTTCAGGCAAATCTTTTTTGTGAAAATCCTGAATATTACTATTACAATAAGTGAATTACATTCCAATTTAAGATTAGATTGAGAAAAAAGTTTAAAAGACCAAATTAAAATATTCTAACCAACTCTCTTTTTCTTTTGATGACAAGTGTACACAAATTAGGAACCAGAGTATTTTCAAAAACAAGAGAAAGATAAAAGTACCTAGTAGGGTCTTCATTCTTTGAAATGAAAGCACGCACGTTTCACTGCCAGACAGAGATACTAAAAAAAAATGAACCAACCTTCAATAAAGACAAGCTGCTAGGAGTTGAGCTATTCTCTGATTCAAACATCATCACATTATTTATTAACTGGATAAGTGGATATCCAAAGCTGTCTCTGTCTCTTCTGAATCCTAAATCAATAGGATCGGTAAATGCAGTTCAAAGACAAATCTGACATGGTGAGCTGCAGAATTTCTAATTGAGAGAAATGGTCTAAATAGGACTGCTGCCTTTGCAAAGGCTGGAACACTCCCAGTATCAGGCAAAGCCTCAAGTATGCAGATTTACAAGGAAAATGAAGGAAATAATTTCTTAGTGCCAGGACCACAACTGTAGCCAACGTGGATATGAAATTTCAGCCATATTTGGTAACATTGTTAGGTCAGGGGCTTTAAGGTGGCATTGAGTAGGATAAAACTCAATTTTCTACTTCTACTCCTCTTTTCCATTCTCTATATTGAACAGCATTTAATAATGCTTTCTTACTACTAAACTGTCCCCTCTGCTGCTAAAACAGAAATTAATGCATTTCAAATGATACAAGTACAAGGCACTTTGGAATTATGGCATTCAAATGCACATGCATCAGATATCAACGTGCAAAACTCTACATGAACAGCAATGTTAGCAGACCAAATCTAAAAAGCAATCTTTTTAAATTTATCTTAAGCACTTTCTAGTAAATGAAGAGACTGTTAGGATATTTTAAAAAAACACAAGAACAATGTAAATCATTCAATGCCGTTGAGTCTGGAGAATATAAAGCTTGTTTTGTGTCCCATTGTCCCAATTGCGCTGACATCCACCCATGGTACTAAATTGGCCAGTTTTCAAATGACGTGAATGTAATGTTGAACAGGATGAGCACATTGTATATCTAATGAACTTCATCACAAACCTATAAACGTAAAACTTTCAATCAGTTTGGCATAGACTTCAAACACCCTCTCCTTCTCATCCAAGAACATGACAAAGGAAAAAAAATATTTTGCAGATGTCCTCAGCTTAACCTTTAGAGCACTATGGCATAGATTTTTTTTCTCAAGGTGAGATGTTTCTCTGAATGTCACCCTCAAGTGTTCGTGACCGCTATTAGCTTTACGATACTGAGTCATAGATTAACACAACTGCACTACATTATTACAGCTTTGTTCACTGTCAATCTTTCACCTTTTTGACTATCCTCAAAAAAGACCATTTGAAACAGTGAAATTGTCTTAAAACCAAGTTACTTTAATTTTCTAAATTGACCAGTAGCACTGTAGAGGGAAAATTAAAAAAAGGTACAAATGCTGGATTCAAAGTCTGTGCTGAATTAGCTGATTTCAACCAGGGCATTGGTAGTGAAGTTATAATTGACCCAAGCTGCCTGGGTGAGGGATGGGATAACTAAGATGGGATTTGTACTGATGAATACTCTCCATGTCCTTACTAGAAAAATGCACATTTTGGCCATGTGGTGAGAACACGATCAGCCTCAGCTGTGTGGCTCATGGTTAACAAGCCTGTCAACACTCACCATCTAGGCTCACGCATGATGAATGACCACTTTGGGCAAGATACCGAGGCCTGCTGGAACCCATGGGACAAGATTCCAGTAAGGTTTATCACTTTACGAGAGAAGAGGAGTTTCTTTTCCAAGCATACAAACAAGATTGTTTATCCGTATGGAGTGTGCCTTAGCATTCCAGACAGACCAAATGTGATAGTGAAAAGCATCAACAAGTAATCAAAAACAACTAGCAATTACACAGCACCCTTCATGTGGGACAACACCTTGGAACATATAGCAGTGGAGATGGGGGAGAGGTGATCATAGGTTCAGTTGAAAAGGTGGGATTTAAACATAGAGGGATAAGGCAGAGGAATTGAGGCAAGGAACTCCAGAAATAAGGGGCATAGATGCTGACGGTTCAGCTACTAATAGTGGCACAGAGGAGTTGGGGATACACAGCAGTCCTGCCGTAGCTAAGAGAAAATGGCAGGCAGAGGAGTGGGGTATGAGTAGGTCAGAGAGGTGCTGGGCGTGGACCTTGAACTTGGTCCTTACGTAGCCAGGGAGCCAGGCAAGGATTGGGGTGATGGGTGTGTGGAGTTTGGTGTGAATGAGAACATGAGTGGTACAGTTTTGCATTAACTTAAAAGGAAGAATATTACTTATTCACCAAATGCAGATCAAAGCCTATTAGTGCAACAACAATGGTCATACATTTGATTTGTGTGATTTGATATAAGAAGACATCCAAAGAAATGCAAGGAAATCTCTCTACTTTTGAAAATCAGGATTTTTAAATATCAAAATATTTTTGACAAACTAAGCCACTTTGTCAAGACACTTCATTTATTCTCCTCCTAAAATGAATTTAGTGACAAAACAAGTTAATTGGCAGAAAATATGTGAATTGACAGCTATCTCACATTAAATACTTGTGCTGAAAAAGTCTTGAAAATAACAAACAGAAACAATGAAGTAATAAACTAATAAAATGTCACCAGCCCCGATGGCATTTTTATGTGGGCTGCCAAACTATGGAGCAAAGATTTTCTACAAGTTCTCTTATGCTAGAAACGTCAACTCATTTGTTCGAAAGAATCTTAGTGACAATTTTAGTCGGGATATCGGATGCTCATAGCTTCTGGGACAGGAGTGAAGAAAATAAGACAACGAGTAAAGTGTGAGAGGAAGAATACACTTAGAATAAATGAGACATGTCTGACAGATTGTGAAACGCTTTATGTAATGTTGAATTTATTGTCTCATTTGGTAGGACTCTTGCCTCTTCAGTCAGAAGGTTGTGTGATTAAGCCTCATGTTGGGACTTTGAATTATGACAAGAATTATTATTTGGTGTGTACATGAATGAGACAACATGGAGCTTAGGACAACAGTTCTGGACATATTTTCTCGGCATAATCATACTCAGATGTACTCAGGAAAATAAAAAAATAAAGATTCAAGTTTGTTGTGTGCAGGAGAAGTCTGTTTATGCAATTGAGCACTGCCTCAAAAAACTACACAATATTATTTGTCGTCAATTATTAATCCCAAAGTGAGAAAGAAAAAAAACACAAATGCAAAATTTCCATCATTCGCCTCATTTGCCCCTCATTAAAAACATTTATATGTATTTTTACATGCATCACCTGTTACCGTAATTGTATAACAACATCAGTAATTATCTATAAATCTACACTACAACATTGTAAATTAGTGCCACAACTAACACAAGGTATGCTGGTTTATTATACAGAGGTACAGACCAAATTATACTTTATTATACAAAGTATGATTGTACCAGGTACCAGCTAGAAGACCTCTTCCAGCTCTGGAGCAATGAACTTACCTTCAAGTCTGCTGCTCTTTCTCTTCAGCCATTTCTCAACGGTTTCAATATTCACACTATCAGACACAAATTCATCTAGCACGTGGGGATGGAGAGAAAGGTAGGCCTTTACTTTTTCATCTGTCAGACCTGCAAAATATACAAGATAATGAAAGTGTGTGAGAGAGAACACATACACACACACACACAGCGCACATATGGCGAACCACTGGTAATTGGACACACTCCATATAGAACAGCTGGTATGAATGTACTGTAGATCACTGCTGTGGGTGCTGCACCATGACCATACAAATCCCTGCCAAAACAGAAACTAAGAGCAGAATGACCATTATTGGACAACTAATATTAAACAACAAGAAACTTCATAATTATACATCAACATTCTGCATAGAACGTCAGGCTTGCTTACTTTCCATACACCACCACCTGGAAGCTAAACAATATAAGTGTTTGGAGGGCAGACTGCTTGAGTTAGACAGAACCACAAGTTACAGATAGGGAACTGGACTGAATGCGGTTTGCATCGCCTACACGATTTGTTACAGGGTACCTCCTCAAATCATAAATTGACGATGAGCATGGAAACAATAAAACTGAAATATTTCACTATTTGCAAATTGACACTAAATGAGGTCAAAGGTGAGGGCACTTTTCTACAGACCCACTTGCCACTAAACATGCATCCTGCCATCTGTAAGCTGACACTGAGAAGGTTGCACAGTAAATATAGCACAACATTGGGGTGCTATTTTAAAGCAGTTTTTAAATCAAAACCATTCACATTCAAGAGCAATCTGGCTCTGTTGTATTTCTTCACCTCTGTGTCAGAAGGCTATGGGTCCAAATCCAATGGCAGGAACCATAGAATAAACAAAAGCCATTGGGCTCACTGTGTCTGTGCTGGTTGTTTCATTCAGTACCATTTACCTGCCTTTTCTTCATATGCCTCGATCTCATAGTCCATCCTGGCACTGCAATACAGTAATAATAATAACATTTGATATTAGCACCTTTCACGTCAGGAGGATGTCTCAAAGCGCTTCACAGGATACACTGCAAAGTAGAGTGACTCTACTTTGTGGGAAAACTTCTACTGTTGGATGCTTCTACCTTCGTTAAACCGAGGTCTTACCTGTCTGTCCTTAGAAGGAAATTGAAGAGTCCATGACACTTTTCGAAAAGAGTAGATAATTACACCCAATGTCCTGGCCAATAATCCTTCAGGTTCAACCTAGCCTGTGAGCTTAAGTTCCAACACATGTAGCATAAATCCACAACTTTATGGCCCTGAGGTGAGAGTGATGTCAACTGAACCAAAATGAACATAGGACTCTTATTATCCTCAGCAAAAGATATTGTTCTCTTTAAACTGTCACTTGCTTGGAGATTTAAAATGCCAGAGTGCATCATTAGGCCACTCACATGCAAAATGACTGATGACTGGAAGCACGTCACCCACCCTATGAGCCGTAGGACTGCTCGCAGCCCAGGGTCACTGGGGCGAAAACAGAGGAATTTGATACCGTCACCAAAAATAAATAAATCAACCACAAGCAAATGGCAATTTATTGCACCAGCTGTATATAATGCATCTGGCCTGACAAAGGTTAACCAGGAATCTTGACAGTCACACGGTAAGGTTTGTGGAACAGAAAAAGATTCACTAGACTGGAAAAAAACTCAGCAAACAAAAACTACACATTGCAGAGTAACCCCAAAGCTCTTCAATCTTGATGTAGGTGTTAGGAAATAACAACCCAGATAAAGGCTTTCCTCCTCTATCCAATACTAGAATTTGAGTAATATGGAGGTATACAATCTTTGGAGTATACCAGTAAGGAGTGCTTGATGAGTCCCAAAAGTACCCAAAACTCAGAGCCCTTTTACACATAGACTACTCTATCTGCATTCCCACAGTTACTCCACTTCTCTCTATGTCCTGTGAAATACTTTGAGATGTCCTCCCAACATGAAAATTGCTATGCCAGCTGTAACGATGTTTGTAGAATTATCATGTTTTTTAAAAAGCAGTAATTGCATCAGTTTTATAGAAGTATACTGTGATGTATATATTCTCCCAAAGACATACATTTTCACTTATGGAGTTCTTTCCATTTTACTGTTGAAAGATGTGGCATTTGACCCAAAGCCACTGTGAAGTCTGATTGAAGCTGTGTAAGGATGAAAAGCCTGTGCGTAGACATATGCACAGAGGTTCCAGCATATTCAGCACATTGGCTGCCACGTTTTGCTGACAAAATACAGTCAATCCACTTTACTGTATATCCTGTGAAGCACTTTGAGACGTGTCGAAAACGTGATAAGATCCTATTTCAAATGCAAGGATTATTATTTATTTATTTATTCCCGTAAACCCCATTCAAAAGCACGCAAGAGTCTTGGGGGAGGAACTTCCTCATCAAGTCTGTTGCCAGTCCATTACAAGAGCAGTTAGCTTTTGTGGTAATGAATCAATGTCGAAGGACATCATGTTCATGGATGCAGTTCTACAGGGCAATGTCTGCCCACAAAAAAAAATTCCAAAAGAAACCCAAGGTCTGGTGGAATAATTTAGACAACTCTGGCATTTGTTGACAGCACCAACACACACACACTTCCAATCTAGTAAACGGATTAAAAGAAAACTCACATTTTTTTTTCCCCAATGGGTTTTCAGATATTTTGTAGTATATGATTAGTTCACTGATGCCTATGTTGGGAGTGTGGCAATGCTTTAAAGATTGACAAATGGAGGAACTGAGGCCTTTGACCAATGGTCCTGGTGGTTAGGAATACTCTCCTTGTCTGACTTAAGCACCTTGCTGCCAATATATTTCCCCTCCTGTGGTAGGTAACTCCAAGTAGGTGTTTCTTCCATATGTGAAGTTTGTAGTTGAATCAGCAAGCGCATACAGCTAAGTAGACATACCTGTGACAATAGGTGTAGGTGTCTCTGTCTGTGTGTATACACACATATTGATATATAATAGACAGAGGGATGTGTAAATGTAACAGTAAGTATAGTATGTGTGTACGTGCAGTAAATGCTGTGTATAATCATTAGTTGTTCAACAAAATTTTGTGCTAAAAGATGGAAAGGGATAAAAAAAATTAAATGTTAAACTTTGTGCGAAACAATGATTGTCCAGCGCCTTGGGACGTCCTCCGACGTGAAAAGAGTTATACAAATGTAATTATGTTGTTGTGTTATAATTCAAATGTCATACAGCCAATACTTTTATTAAAACAATGAACTACCACTTCTATCCTGCCAACCAATCTTATACACAGCTCTATCTATCATGCCATAGAAGACAGCTTATTCACTATCTTCTGCTCTTGGAATTTAAATAATTACAATGCGTTACCGGCATTTTGGGGCACTGAAAAAAGATGGTAAATGCAGGTTCCGGTATTATAATTACTCTTAGCTGGAAGTTTTTGGTCTTTTAGAATTATTGAAATTTTAAGGTACAGGAGAAAGCCATTCAGCCTGTTGTGCTGTCTCTCAAGCTAACAACAGCAACAAATTACAATTATGCTAGCTTTCAATGTAGTCCCACTCCTCTGTTATTTTATACATTTCTTTTACAAATACATTGTTGACTTTTAAAAGCTGTTATATGTTCTTCTTTAAACGTAGATTTAGTTGGTCATTTCAACTCCCAATTATAAATTGCAAACAAATCTTTACAAGGATGGGGTTCACTTCCCTGCATATTTTATTGGATGGAATACGCCAGAGTCAGGAGTAACTGTAACCCAAAATGATCATTAAAGCAGGTTCCATGCACTTCACATTTACTCTCTGGGCGTCATATTTCCAGCATCATGGACACAATGATAAAAAGGCACTATATCAAATGCAAGGATTATTATTATTATAAATACATAACTATTTTTATTTGATACGCGAGGTAACTATTGAAAGGAAGATTCTCTGGGACATTTAGCAATAATACGGTTTTGGGCTGTATCTTTAAAAGAAAATTAACATGAAACAGTAAAATCCAACAAAATCATTCTCCATTAACTTTGTATTCAAGAATGTATATCAAGAACCCTAATAATTGAAAAAATAATGCTTAGGTAATCTGCTTGTTTGATGGATGTGGCTGTTTCTATGTCAGTAGCAGATGGCATGGTTAAAATTTAGCTTCATTTAGATAGTTTTTTTCCACATAAAATCCCCATGGTTATAGGCTTGCACTGATTTAGCATATGAAGAACAGATGTGTGCAGGGAGCCAAGCAATGCCAAGCAGTTCCAAGTCAGCTTCTTCTATGCACACAAATTGTTAACAAAACTTTTTTGAGGCGGGGGAGGGGGGGGGGGGGGGGCGGAGGGAGAGGGAAGAGAGGGGAGGACAACTTAAACAAACCTTAAATGAACATATTGTATACATTTTTTGAATAAACGTTCACATCCATGTGTTTCAGTTAAGAGTTCATCCTTTGATAATGCTCCATCAATAATATAAATGCAAGTTTATTTGTAAAGAAAACAAAGAACCCCCAAATTGTAAGATTGTAAATAAGTCTAAATATTTCAGGAGCACAGCTAAACTTTACAACTGTCAAAAAGTGCTACATTTATATTCTCGCAGATTCTATGAGAAATATTGACTACACTTCGTGTTTTCTAAGAGGTATTTCAGAACAGTAGCCTGGACTTGTATTGCGCCCTTCAGGTAAAATAACATCTCTGCGCGCTGTACAATAGCCAGGTTGGATGCCAGCAAGGAAGAAGAGGGAGGTGTAGGTGACCATAGGCGCGGTCAAGATAGTAGGTTTTCAATACCAGATTGGAAACATAAACAGCTTAAATATTTATTTCGTTCAGAATTCTCATTAAACATGGGAATCTTCAGAGATCTGGGGTCACATTACCCATGATTTTTGAAACATTGTTATTTTTCTAAATGGTGTCTCGAACAAATACAGTTGTTGAAAACTTAATATTCATGCCCTCTACTGCTAGAATCTGGATACTGCTCCGTTCATTCAAAGGCACCTCTGCCAGATCTGAAATAGGATCATTTCTGAACATACCTGCTGTGTATACTGCATCCTAATTGTGCAAGCAGTGTCAGACACCACCAAATTATTACCAATTATTGATTTGCA